GGCCCTTTAAATTTCACACCCCAGCCCCACCCTCCCCCACACACACTAAGGGGTGGGGAGGAAAAGGGGGGGCTTGTGGATTCGCAGGCACAGCTGGTGTGGGGGGAGTCCAGGGCTGGGCTGGCAGGGGCTGCAGGTCGGGAGTGAGGGGCACCGGCAGGGCTGGGGGCGGCGGGGAACCCAGGGCTGGGCTGGCAGGGGGCTGCAGGTCGGGAGTGAGGGGCACCGTGCCCACCTGTCTGGCTGTCCTGGGGCTGTAGCAGCCACGGCTCCTGCGGTTGTTTGGCCTCCAGGGTGGCCGTCACCAGCCGCGTCAGCGCGTCCAGCTTCTGGTCCAGGACGTCGATTCGCTTCTCCAGGCCCCGCTGGGAGGTGCTGAGCCCAGTGCTGAGGTCGCAGAGAATCGTCTGCACCTGGGGGGGAGCGGACAAAACCCCGGGGCATCGTGGGAAAGCGGCCAAGGGTCAGACGCCCCCCTCCCCCGCTGAGGCTGAGCCTTGGGGGGGGCGGGGGGTGACGTGAAGCCCCTGGAGGGCAGCAGTGCCCCACAGCCTGCCCAGCCAGTGCCCCTCACTCCCGACCCACAGCACCCTGGCTCTAACCCACTGGACCCCAATCCCCCCCAGAGCTCAGGAGAGAACCCAGGAGTCCTGCCCCCCTGCCCCCCTGCTCTAACCCACTGGACCCCACTCTCCTTCCAGAGCCGGGGAGAGAACCCAGGAGTCCTGGCCCCCAGCCCCCCATCCTGGCTCAGTCCCTGCAGTTTCTACCTTCTTGTCCCCGAGCAGGGGGCTGTGTGGGGCTGGGTTACTTAGGGGCCCTGGGAGGGGGAAGCCAGGCTGGGACGTGCAGGCAGGACTCACCTTCGACATGTCCACCAGGGCGTTAACCTGGTCTCGGAGCTTCCGGTGCCGAATCCGGACCTCCCGGAACCTGCAGAACCGGAGAAAGAGTTCAGCCAGTGCCCCTCACTCCCGACCCGCAGCCCCCTGCTAGCCCAGCCATGGGCTCTCCAGTCCCCTCCCAGAGCCGGGAAGAGAACCCAGGAGTCCTGGCTCCCAGCCCCCTGCTCTAACCCACTAGACCCCACCGCCCCCACCCCCAGAGGCCGGGAGCGGACCCAGGCGTCCGGGCACTGTCACTCACCTGTGGATGGCCGCCAGCAAGCGCCTGTGATGCGTCCGGACCCGGCGCCCGGCCCTGGCCTTGCTGTGTCTGTGGAAGAGCCAAGCCGCCTGTAGGACGTTCGCTGCCGAGTTCCTCATCTGGGAGGGACACGGAGACATGTCAGGATTCTTCCCACAGTGCACTGGGGCAGCAGTGCCCTGCCCTACTCCCCCCCCCCCCAACCTGGGGCCCATGGGCTGGGCTTTTAGGGTGGGAGGGGGGGCACAATGGACCTGAACTCTGAGGTTGCTCCCTATACTTCCCACAATGCACCTGGGCCACAGGGTTGGGCACTTTCCCACCATGCACCAGGTCTTACTATTCCCCTGTCCCACAATGCACCTGGATTTCCAGGGCTTGGCCACTTTCTCACAATACCCCTGTGTCAGCTGAGTCTGTGCAGGCCAAGCAGCCCACGGGGGCCCACACAAGCCCCACCATGCCGGGGGGGGGGGGGGGGGCATCAGGGCCTGGCTGGGGGTGGGGGGGTGGCATGGGGGGCCCTGCCCCCTCCCCCCGCCCCAGCAGGCACCGGGAGCGTTTCCCATCCCCATCCATAGAAGGACACTTGGCAAACAGCCACGTCCCCGGCGCTGGGAGGGGAGTGAGGTCAGAGCAGGGGGGGGTCTGGGGGCCCGGACGCCTGGGTTCTGCCCCACCTCTTTGGTGCACTGTATGTCCATCATGAAGTTGTGAACATGTTTCTCCGCCCGGTTGAACTCCAGTTTGTCGGCTGCCACTGCCACCAGCAGCGCCGTGCAGCCAACGCCCTGCGGCAGAGACAGGGGATGCAATTAGCCAGGCAGGGCCCCAGGGTAGCACTAGGGGGCGCTGTGCTGCGGGAGGGGGGGGCACAGCCCTTACCATGATGCCGGTACACAGACAGACCAGCCGGCCGCACACCGTCACTGGCACCACATCCCCGTAGCCGATGGTGAGGAAGGTGATGGGGATCAGCCAGAGCGTCCCCTCCAGGTGCCCTGCTCCGTTCTCCCTGCAGCACGGGGGGCAGAGAGACGGCGTCAGAGACCCCCGCACTGAGCCTGCCTTGCCCCCGCCCCCACAATGGCCAACCTCAAGATTTTGAGAGAGCCATAGAATATCAGGGTTGGAAGGGACCTCAGGAGATCATCTAGTCCAACTCCCTGCTCAAAGCAGGACCAATCCCCAGACAGTTTTTTCCCCCCAGTTCCCTAAGTGGCCCCCTCAAGGATTGAACTCACAACCCTGGGTTTAGCAGGCCAATGCTCAAACCACTGAGCTATCCCTCCCCCCCCCAATGCCCCTGGGCCTTCTGCCTGGCTGCTTTCCCAGCATGCCCTTGGGCCTACAGCGGGAGCCCCTCAACCCACAATGCACCTGGCCGCTTGGCCCCTTTTCCATTCGCCTTCAATTGCCGGCTTTCCCACCATGCCGCTGGGCCTTTGGCTGCTTTCCCATGATGCACCTGGGCCTAAATTAACCTGCTTTCCCATGGTGCACTTGGGCCGTAAGTTGGCCCCTTTCCCACAATGCACTTTGGCCCTGGACCACTTTCCCACAGTGCACCTCAGCCGAAAGTTGCCTGCTTTCCCACGATGCCCCAGGGCCCTCAGCTGCCTGCATCCCCGCCGTGCCCTGGGGCCGGGCCTGCTCTCCCACAATCCGCTCGGGGCCTACGTTGGCCGCTTTCCCAGCCTGCCCTGGGGCCCTTGGCCGCCCCGCGCCCGGCCGCACCTCTCGCAGACGGACAGCACCCAGGAGGCGGTGAGCCAGATCCCCAGGGTGAGCACCACTAGCACGCGGCCGGGCTGGCCGTTGACCAGCAGGCGCAGGACGAAGGGGTACCGGAAGCGGATCTGGTTGAGGGAGCCGATGGTGCGGTACGAGGCGTCCCCCAGCACGTGGCTCTGCAACAGCGCGGCCCGCGGGACCAGGTACAGCCGCAGGAACATCAGCAGCGACAGCAGCGTCTCGGCCCCCGGGAGGAAGGACGTCGGGGGGCCCAGCTCGGGGGCCAGGCAGGGGGAGCCCCCCATGGGGAAGGGGTGCAGGGCGCAGACCAGCAGCTCCAGCAGGATGAGGCCCAGTTTGGGGCCGCTCACCGCGATGCGCCAGTCCTGGAGCGAGTTGTCCAGCATGAAGAGCTGTGGGGGGAGAGAGAGAGGGAGAGCATGGAACTCAGGAGTCCCGGCTCCCACCCCCCGGCTCTAACCCACCAGACCCCACTCCTCTCCCGGAGCTGGGGCAAGAACCCAGGAGTCCGGGCTCCCCCCGGCTCTAACCCACCAGACCCCCCACCCTCCTCCCCTCCCGGAGCCGGGGAGAGAACCCAGGAGTCCAGGCTCCCCCCCGGCTCTAACCCACCAGACTGTGACCCCACTCCTATCCCGGAGCCGGGGAGAGAACCCAGGAGTCCTGACTTCACCCCTCTCTCTCTGTCACGGTTTCTCTCTTCCGTTTTCACTTTCTCCATCTTTCTTGCCCACTCTGGGATTTGTCCTCCGTTCAATGGAGCAACCACCGTCCTCCCGGCCCCAGCCCCGGCCCCTGGGAGTCTGTGGGGAGCTCAGCCCCACAGCCAGCTGCTGTGGGTGGGGGCCAGTCACAGCCCCCCACTGCCCTGCCCCCCAGGGGCCATCAGGGCAGGGGCAGGGAGACCCAGAGCTACTCTCCCGCTAGCGGGGCCCAGGAGTGGCTGGACCGGGGTGCGGGAGGAGGGCGGAGTGTGTGTGTGTGACCCACTGCTGGGGGGCTGAGCCCTGCTCCTTGTGTGTACGTCTGGGCCCAGAGGCGTGTGCGGGTGACTCACAGCCGGGATCTCTTCTCTCTCCCGGGGCGGGAAACTTCCACCCTCGCAAGATCAACCTCCCGTTTCCGCCCCACAGGCGGCTGGGACTCCAACAATGTGGGTGTGTCTGTGTGTGTGCGTGTGTGTATCTGTGTGTGTGTATCTGTGTGTGTGCATGTCTGTGTGTGTGTCTCTGTGTGTGTCTGTCTGTGTGCGTTTGTCTCTGTGTGTTTGTCTTTTTGTGCATGTCTGTGTCTCTGTGTTTGCGTTTGTCCGTGTGTGTGACTCTGTGTGTGTGTCTCTGTGTCTGTGTGTGCCTGTGTCTCTGTGTTTGTCTTTGTGTGTCTGTGTGTGTGTGTGTATCTCTGTGTCTGTGTCTTTGTGTGTGTGTGTGTGTGGGAGAGAGAGAGTGTATGTGTGTGTGCAGCAGGGCCATAAACACCCAGCCCACAACTCACAACCCCCTGTCACCCACCAGCAGCCGAGGCAGCTAGAAAAGCCCAAACTCAGCCTGATCTGGGGAGATTAGATGGAATCTGCCCCCAACGGACGGAAAAATAGTCAGTGAGCGTTTTCTGTCACTGGTGTGGGGGGTTTGAGTGGGGGCTGGGAGCCAGGACTCCTGGGTTCTTTCCCCGGCTTTGGGAGAGGAGTGATGTCTAGTGGTTAGAGTGCGGGGGCGGGGGGGGGGGGGGGGGAGGTGCCAGGACTCCTGGGTTCCAATTTGACTTGGGAAAAGCTGGTAAGGAGGTGGCTACTTTAGAGCCAAGAGCTCCGAGCAGCTGGGGGGAGCTTCAGTCCCAAACAGGGGAACCCCAAATGTACCCCCACCCCACTTACTGCAGGGGAGCCTTCTTGGGGGTGGGGGGAATTAAGGGCAAGCTGGGGGGGGGGTTCCTAGGTCCCTGGCCTGGCCGACATTTGGGGGGAGGGGCCTTACCTGGATCTCCTTGATGTGGAAGGCGAGGATGACGGCCAGCAGGGTGGCGGTGGAGAGCGAGAGGAGGCATTTCACCAGGAACAGATACGCAAACCACTGAGGGGGGGAGAGAAAATGGGGGTGAAACCCCCTGAGCCAGCCAGGCCCTGCCCTGGGGCTGGATGG